TAGGGTTTGGGGATGTTTAGGGTTTCGTGCCTAGGGTTTAGGGGTGTTTAGGGTTGAGCTCAAAACCCCAAACCCCGTGAGACTCTGCAGGTGTCTACTCTTCCAAAGTCTGCAGGGCTCTCAGTCGCCTGGGGTCATCGAAGCGTGGGTTTAGGGTTTAGTTTTAAGGGTTTAGGGTTTAGGGGTTCGTAGGTTAGGGTTTAGGGGTTGAGGGTTTAGGGGTTCATGGGTTTGGGGTTGTCAGCGACTCCTACGAAACCTTTATTTTTTAGGGTTCCTTCATATTAGTTTCTTAGCTAGAAGTCCTCAAAAAGGTCGGTCGGTTCTAAAGGCGGCTCGAGGTGCATCTTAAATATCGGGAGAACCTTGCATAGCCTCGCACGGTTTAGGGTTTAGGGTTCAGGGATATGTTCCTGAAGTTTTGGAGTTTCTGGGCATAGACAAAAGCAGTCGAGGGCCATCTCAACTTTCCAGATCTGGTAGTCCATCGTTTCTGCGCCCTAAACACTAAACCCCTAAACCTTATAAACGCGAAGCCCCGAGCCCTAAACCCTAAACCCCTAAACCTTATAAACTCTAAACTCTAAGCCCCTAAACCTTATAAACTCTCAGTCAAAGCTCAAAGCTTTGAGCTCAGGTAAATCCGGACCCAAAGACGTGAACCATGCGGTTCTTGCCATTGGCTATGGTAAAGACCACCGGAGCGGCAAGCAGTACTGGCGGCTCGGTTTAGGGTTTAGGGTTTAGGAGGTTTGGGGATTTTTGGGGGTGTGGGAGGAGTGTCGTGAGGATGTCGGGTGCCCCTATAAGCCCTAATTTAGGGGCCTTAATAACTAGAATAGGGTTTTCGGGGTATACCATACTATAAGTACAACAAGGAACCCCAAAACCCTATTCAAATTGTTGAGGCCCCTGAATTAACTCCCTAATCCCTTTCCCCCCTAAACCCTATTCAGCCAATAGCATCTGAACAATTTCATTTTTTGTCCCTAAACCCTAAACCCTAAACCCTAAACCCTAAACCCTAAACCCCTAAACCCCTATATGATTCGAGTATAACAGATCGTATTCCAAACCTAAGCCTCAAACACCCAAGACTCCCAGAGACGCCAATATCCCTTAATTAAGTAATATACCTTAAATCATATTAAGGAATAGGGTTTAGGGTTTAGGGTTTAGGGTTTAGGGTTTAGGGTTAAGGATCCTACTATAATTTAAGGAATATTCCTTAATTAAGGAATATTGGAGTCTCTGGGCTCTTAGACTCTATACCGCCTAAACCCAACCAATCCAGCCTTGACGCCCTGAAAGGGGCTGCAGGATAGAAGCCCTAAATAAACCCCCTAAACCCCTAAACCCTAAACCCTCAACTCCTAAACCCGAAACCCACATATCAACCCTTATATAAGCCCTTAAAGCCTGAACCCTAAACCCCGATATAAACCCTAAACCCTCAACCCCTACATAAACCCCTAAGCCCCTAAGCCCC